TTACATACTGAATAATATTCAATAAAATATGAATTTCCTACAAATAAATTTTATTTAACTGTCATTATTGATTAATTACTTACATTAAAAATACAAAATCAGGTAGAGAATTTCATTAAAATATTTTTTTATAAAACAACATTGTACTTTGGAAGATGAAAATTGCTATTGGCATAAGCTGCCCTGTCGTGGACTAAGTTTGTCAATCTGACTTGAGCGGAGTGTCAAACCAAGCATTTATCATGGTTGGTTCAATATTGGACAGTTGTCGGGGTCAAGCTCAGACCAAGCTTGGCCCTGTTATGAATTCCTTTACCTTCAACTCGGGTTGCATTTCACACCCGGTAGGGTTCCCTTGGAACCTAAATATACCATTACTGCAGTTGTTCTTAAAACAGTAAAAATTCAAAATTACTTTTGTAACATCAGCGTAAGGTCGTCAGTCCTAAAACTGGTTGGACACGCTTCTCCTCTTTATCCTATCCTGAGCGAATCTTCGCATTCCCCTAAAACTGGAATATCCCACATCCTTAACTATTTGTGAACAGTAATCTTATAAGGTCTACCTCTACTCCTCTTAACTCCTGTTTCTGCTTCGTATGCCTGTTATTAATTAGATATTTATTCCGGTGCTCGCTGAATTACTTTTTTTTTCGGCTAATCTCTCATAAGTAACAGATGTACACAGTACGTTTTTGATTACGAAACTGTGAAAATTGCATTTTTTGTTGGTCTTATTGCGATTAGGTTTGGTGTCGTCTACATACGTTGCTATTCGTTTGTAGCCATTGATAATATTAAAACTGTTACAACGAGAAAAAAAGAACTCCCAGCTGCAGTGGCGCGATTAAAATTGCACAAATTTTCTTTAGTAGCAAAATTCTTTCTCATGAAACGAGTTTGGGTTGTTCTTTGAACGCATATTGCATCTGACAAACTGGTATACGTGCATTCATTGTACTTACATATCTATATAAGTAAAAAAAAAAAACGACGAAAAATGAAACGTTTGCTGCACTTCGACATTCTTGAAGGGTGCATTTTTCTTCTTAATAATGGTCGGAATACAAGTTTTTTTTTAATTGTTGTAATACATATTATCATTGTCAACAAGACAGGTCGCGGTATTGGTGTAAGGTTGTTCTTAAGCAACGAAGTTGTTTATGCCTGGAACATATTTAGCAATACCGGAAGTAACTACCATGCAGGCAAATTTGCATTGCGAAATAAGGGGCACGTCCGGTTTTGCCACACTGCTTTGAAACGAGAAAAGGGGAACAATGTAAACGATCCGCTATTGT